ATTGCAATCAATAAACTATTTAAAGAAAATCTATGAAGAGAATGCTATAGCTGAATATTTAAGGGTGATGCAAGAACAACTTCTGTGAAAAATCTTTGTCAGGCAAAATTAAGTGATATTTACATATAGGTCAAACGTTTTTGGAAGGTAATTTCAGACAAAATTATTATTAGGTTCTTTAAAAAATGTAAAATATCAAATTCTTTAGACAGATCTGATGAGAATGGAAATAATAACGAAGATAGAAGTGGATATGAGAGTATAGATGAGAATGCAGACGAAAATAAAGATAATAATTTGGATGTTATATATATTGATAGTGATTGTGACAGTAACAATAGCATTGATGCCAATAATAGCATTAATAGTAATTATGGTGATAGCATTTAAAATTATTGAAATAAATATTTTTTATAACAAATTATATAATATATATATAAGTACTAAAATAACAATAAATAATAATCAGATTTTAATTGAATAAATTATGAGAATGCTTATTTTTGAGTACTAATAAATCTTGATGGTGCTTATTTTTGAAAAGTGTTTATTTTCAGAGGAATATGATATTAATAATTATTAATTTTAACAATTTAAAAATACTATTATTAGATAGATTTTAATATAATAAATCTAATAAACTTTATTTTATCTTTTTATAATCACTAGATATTAAAATATTATAATTTTTTACAATATTTTATAGCTAATTTATACCTACGCTTTAAGGAATAACTATTATTAGAATTAAGTAAAATATAAACTTTAAATTGATAATTACAATATTATATAATATTATTTCTTTTATTTAAACCTTTTAAATCTTTTATTATAAAAACTTTTCTACTATAAACTATTATTTTTTTTACATATATTATCAATAGCATTCTTTTCAATTTTTTTAAATGAAATTGAAAATCTCATTACTTTGCATATATTTTAATTGCTAAAATAAAATTTTTTTTAGAAGAATAAGTATTACTTTCGATAAGTTTTATATTAAAAATTTCAGTATTTTTAGAAAACTTAGAAAGTTCTAAAGTATGATTATAGATTTCTTTATAATTTTCTATTTTAAAGTATTTAAATATGTATAAAGTAGTAGAAAGTAATATAATAATATATCAATATAATAATTGATTTATTATATAAGTGATATATCTTATTATGAGATATATAAATATAGATCATATAAAAATTAAGAAGAGTTTAAGATAAAATCATAAACTTCTTAGTATAGATTAAGATTTACTATTTGTCTTTTTATAATATTTTAAGATTAAAACTTTAGCTATTTTTTAAATATTAATATTACAAATTATTTAATTTTATTATAAATATAATTTTTTAGATATTAAATTCAAAATCATTGATCAAATTAAAATCAAATTTTATTCTATTATATAAAATAAAATTAAAAAAAATCATTCTTTTACATAATAAAATTTAATAATAGAAGTGAATTAATTAATCTTGAATATTAATATTTGAGTATTAATGATTAAATTTGATTTTTGTATTATATAATTAATTAACTACTTTATTAATAATTTTGATTATTAAATATTTCTATCAAATTGTTTATTTAAATAATAATATAAGTAATTACTATTAAAATTAATTATTTCAGATTAATATTAATCTAAATTTAATAATTTTTTAATACTTAATATTATAGAATTAATATTTTACATTTGATTATGTATGAATTATTCATTATATAAATTAGTTTTGAATTAAACAATGATTATTCATTTTTTAGTTTATATTAATTTAATATATTTATAAATAATTTACAATATATTTTTTAAAAAAAAGTTATTTTTAAATTTATATAAATAAGCTTAATTTTTAACTCAATTTTAATAAAATATTAAAATAAAAAAAATTAATTACAAAAATATCAACTTTAATAATAAAAAAATCATCTAAAGAATATCAGAATAATACTAACTATAATTATAATAAAAATTAATTAAAAAAGTAAAAAAATTTTTTTTTATTATTAATTTTTTTCAAACTTAATTATTCTAAAATATAATATATTATAAATTATTCTAAATTTAAATTTTCATATATATTAAATAAATTTTTATCTTTAAATAATTCTTGATAAATCTATTTATATCACAGATTATATTATATAATTAGATCTCTTTAAATGCATTTCTTTAGAATTGAGACTAAAAGTATATTTAGAGAGATTATATATTAATAGAAATATACATTTAATAAATTTTTATAATATAATAATTATAATTTTTATTTTATTTTTTATATATCAGAAATTTTACATTAGTATAATAATAAAATTAGTTAGATTTCATCTAATAGTATTTTAATTTTAAGTTATACTAATTAATATATTATTCTATTTATTAAAAAATTATTCTAAAGTAGTTTCTTTTATTATTAGTTATTGATTTAATTTAAAAAAATTAATATTAAAGTATTTATAAGACTTACCTCTGAATGATCTAATGCTTGAAGAATCTGATAGAAAGTAAATAATTTAATTAATTAGTTATTTGATTTAAAAAAAATAATTTATAGGACTTACTTTTTAATGATCTAATACTTGAAATTTTATAGCTACAAACATAATTTATTTTTTTAAGAAACATTTTAACATTACTTTTAAATGATCTAATAGATCCTATTATTTTATAAAAATACTCACATAATATATATTTAAAGATAGAATTGTTATATAAAAGGATTAAAAAACTTCTTACATGTATAGAACTTTGAGAATTTAAAATTATTTAATATTTAAGTTCTAAACTTAGAATTAGTGATACTTACTTAAATTATTTTTATTATGATACTTTTATCAAATTTTGTATTTGACTAAACCTTTAATTAAAATTTAAATTAAACTTTTAATAAATGATTAAATGACTAAAATTAAATACTTATAATATATAAATTATAAATTTTTATTTATTTGTCTTTATTAAAGAATATAATATTTATTAATTTTAATTTATATTTATTATTAATTAAATATATAATCATTAATATTATTAATTAATATTATAGATAATAATTATTCATATTGAAGTTTGCTAGAAAAATTAGACTCTAAAAATATTTTTAATTAAAATTAAGATTTTATTATATTTAATTTAATAATTAAAAATAGTGTTATAACTAATTATAATTAGTGATAAATAAGCATTACAGAATTGTAATTAGTATGATAATAATAATAATTAAGTTACAATTAGTTGCAATTGGTGACAAATAAACATCACATGATTACAACTAGTTGTAATACCATCTTTATTAATAATATCAAAACTAAAATGTAATAAAAATCAAAAATTTGTTAAAAAATTTCTTAGAATCCAATTTTTTCTAACAAATTTTCTATATATAAACAAAATATAATAATAGTATTTTATTTACAAAAATTTTAAATTTCTAGAATTTATAATAAAATAAAATATTATTAAAAACTATAAGTTAAAATTTATGAAAAATATAAAAAAATCATGAAAAAAAAGTTTTAGCATTTTGATTTTAATTATTGAAAACTAAATAATTTTAATTTCATCAAATAACTAAATATTTCAATTTCACTTAGTATCATTACTTAAAATCAGAATATTATGTATATTTAAAGAAAGTATACATTTATAAAAATGCATTTAAAGAGATCTAACTGTATAATGAATTTGTTTTTTAATTATTTTTCTATTATTTTAGTAATTTTTATTATAAAATATTAATAAATCTATATTTGGCTATGTAAAATTTTCAAATTTCTTAACCTAGTATTTTTCTTAATATATTAAGATTTAATGTAAAAATATATTTTTATAAAGCTTTTATAAATAAACATTTATATAATTCTTTTAATATAAATGATTTTGAAAATTTATGTATTTTAAAAATATTTATATTTTTCAATCAAAAAGATTTTCTTTTAATTTATTTGTAATTAATATAAGCAGTGATGTATATTTTTAATGTCCCAGAAATTTATTGTTCCAGTTATATGTCTCAACCTGTCCTACACTATGTCCCAAAGGTCCTATCTATCTCATCTATATCCCATCAACGTTCTATCAGTGTTCCATCAATGTCTCATAACAATACTGAGTATAAGTATATAATTATACTTTAGTGTAAATTGATAAATTACTAATTAAATTGTATTTACAAATGTAATTATTTATTAATAATTTATAATAAATGTTATTAATTTTACCATTATCAAAATTAATTAGCATTAAAGTATATGTAAAACTATATACTTCTATGTCATTTGACTCATATATCCATATTCTTCGCTTAATAATTGAGTTGATATTAATTGGCTTTTAATTTTACAAGTCTAAATAAAGCAAATACCAGTGTAAAATTTTTTAGTTAAGATCATTTCACACTTAAAAATAATTCTTATTTTTTAGTAATAGTATTATTTTTAAGGTATAATAATTCTGAAACTTTTTTAAAAGTTTTATTCATTTTTTTTAAAAAAATAAAAGTTAAAAACAATAAAACATGTAATTATAATATATATGATTAAATATCAAAAATTAAAAGTATATATAATTATTACTATCATATTTTTTGTTTTTTACTATTTTTTTACATTAATATAATAGTTATTGGTTATTGCATCAGTCACACAAGATTATGCTTTAAATTAATATTGTAGTATATGAAAAGTATAATTTATTGCAATTATCTTTGGTATTTAGCCGTTGACAGTCCATGATCCTGATAGACTTACCAATATTATAGTGTAATAATAGTTATTATTATGTAAAAACATTTTGAATTATATGTATAATAATTCGGACATTTTGTTAAATATTAAATAAGTTTAGATAAGCAAACATTATTTACTATTGATATAGAACAAAGTTCTGTAAAATTTACAAAGCATTTATTATTCTTTTAAAAAATTATTCGAAGTCTTCTGATTTATCGCTAATATTTTCAACCTGCAAATAAGAACTTAATCATAACAAGTCAATTACTAAGAATCATTCCGTCAATTTTTGCCTCTTGGATACCGCGTCATTGGGTTTCTTTCGTAAAAGGTACCGTTTTCTTTCGGCTTTATTCAGCACGTTCAAATTGTTTGCTGTTACTTGGGTTTGATTGGTCGTAGGTTGAATATTTGCTGGAACATTAATCGATCTTTTTGTGATATCACCAAAGGGTCTCCTCTTTTCGACTCGATCAACTTTTTCCTCTTGTAACGATTTAGAAATGGTCGGAGGCGAAGCGATGGGTATAACCGAAGTAGAACCGGTAGGAGCACTTATAGGTTGAGTTGAGATTCTTTCCAAAGGTCTCTTTTTCTCAATTTTGGAATTAACCTTGGAAAGCGATAGTATCTTTTTTTTGTGTGTGACGGTGGGAAAGTTTTCTTCAGCTTTATTTAAATTTTCTGAAGCCGCTTCTTGCGCAGCTTTTTGTATAATTACTACGTTTTTCTCTAAAGGAGGCAGTGTTACAAATTCTTGTTGTTGGATATCCTAAAAAATGAAGCATAAGCAAGAGCGAAAGAAATAATTATGACAAGATTATAAACTTCATTCACTTTACCTGTGACGAAGATGAAACCGGCACAGCAACTGCAGGGGTAGATGATGAAGCTTGTTCGGGTTCTTGGATAAGATCCTTTACGCGATAAGATTCGAATTGAGGCAAAAAAAAAAATTAACAAAAGAGTGGAATTCAAATAGAATCGTCTCAAATACCTCTGTGATTAGTGCTTTATTATCTTCTATCGCGTGTTGCAATGTAGCCTGTCTCGCCTTTTGAATAAATAAGGATTTATTTTCCTTAAATTCACTTGCCTATCGGTTAAGCATTAGTATTATTAAACGTTAAAGGATTTGAGGAACGAAATGAAACAAAGGTATTGCTCAATTGTACAATTTCAACTAAAAGAGGATCGTCCGGATTTGGATCCGCCATCAAAATACTCAAAGACGTCAAGGTAGTTGAAATATTCAACGAGGGCTTCCATGATCCCTATAACACGAACATTTTGTTTATTATTAGTTTGCTTCTAATAGAGAAAGAAATTGACGTGAAATTACATTTGGTGGCATTTTAAGAATGTCAAGGCAAATTCTTCCTGCATCATCCACGTTTGGATGATAAATTGGGGTAATAAATTGCATTTTTGGAGGTTCCATAGGATAGCTATCATAGCGAAAGTGATTAGTAAAAAGGATAAAGGTAGACGAACAGATAAAAGAGAGGAAACTTACCGTGAAGGAATCTGAACATCCACTTTGAATAGACCGTCCTCATATGGTGTATCCTTCGGTCCTTTGATCTCTATTGAAGGGAAGAACGAAATAAGTCAAATATGATGCAAATTTCCAGGATAATCCAAAAAGAAAAGAAAACTTACGTGAACAAAAGTGTAATAAACTATCATCAATTGGATAACAAACTATACCCGGCGGAGGATCGCATTCCAGTATTTCTTTGAAAATAGGTAAAAGGTTTCAATTTATTAAAGCGTGAAGGAGTTTACGCGTTTGGGGAATAAACTAAAACAGATAAAGTACCTAGTTCGCGTTTCATACGAGGTAGCAGCTGATTCGATGACATTGTACGCGACTTCAACTAAAGTAAACGCGAAAGAGCAAAGAAAACTTGAAACAGGGATGACATATTTATAAGTTTGCGTCACATCCGGATTGGGAAATGTGACCGGCACCTGCAAAATAATGAGGAAAATTCGGGTAGACCTTGATTCCGGCAGGAATTAACCCACTACTAAAAATGATTTCGCATAGTCTCCGAAACAAATATTCGCTTCGGAAGTTCGGTAATTTCTACGTTGCACCGGTTTTTTTTTTTTTGGCAAGCTCATGAAAGAATTCTATGACTTATTAAAACGCGTTTTTTTTTTTTTAAAAAAAAAAAAATTGAGGACACGCGTTTTTAATTATATGAATCATCAATAGCAAGGAATCACTTGTAAAAATAGAAATTCAATGAATACTGCAAGTTTTTATTTGAAGTTTTTTTGACTGTAGTAAGTATTTATTTATTTTTTTTTTTTTTAAAAGAGAAATAGTTGAATTCAGAGAAAAAATATTTGAAAAAAATTTCTAAGATATAAAAAAGGAAAAGAATACTGTACAGAAATAGAAAAAAAGAAAATATATAAAAGAAAATATATAAATTAATAAATTACCAATAAAACTCATTTCTTTTCCTTATCTCTAATTACCTTTAGATGAAAAACGAAATAAAAAAAAAAAATAACAAAAATATCGAATTATTTTTGTCTTTATATAACACATCGAAATAAAGAAAAAAAGAAGGTAATAAAGGGAAAAGATATAAATCTTAAAAGTAATTTAAAATCTATATATTTATATAGGAACAATTTTTTTTTAAAAAAGATGTAATAATAATATTTACTCTCCCGTCTTCTCTTTTTTTTTTTTTTTTTTTTTCTTTCCCCCCTCCCACAGGGAGAATTTTTTTTTTTCTTGGATTTTTTTTTTTTTTAAAAAAAAAGGAATTTAATTTTGTTATGCTATAGATTTAATTTTATACATAATTAAAAAAAAGAAAATATAAAGGAAAAAAAACTTGTATGTACAGGTATACACATTATTTATAAAAATATATATATATATATACGAAAAAATATACAAAAGAAAATTTTATGATGATATTTATAACGAAAGAAATCTTTTTTTAAAAGGTTACTTTCAAATTTTGGTTTTTTTTTTAAAAAGTTTAAAGTTTATGTTTTTTTTTATAAGGGGGTTTTTTTTTTTTTAAAGAAAAAAAATTAAAGTGGCACTATTGTAACGAGTATAATGAAAAAGAAAAAAAAAAGATTAAATAATTCTAAGAAAAAAAAAGGTAATTTTTTCAAATAATTACCCTTTTAATCTTAAGGGAATTCTTTAACTTTTCTGTAAAAAAATTTTTTGGAGTAAAAAAAAAAAATTCTCTCAAACAAAAAAAAAAGGGTCGTAGTTTTTTTTTTTTTCTTTTCGAATTTAAAAATATTATTTTTAAAAAAAAGGATTCCGAAATTTTATATTCATAAAGGAAAAAAATTATCGATAATCTATATCGAATGAAAAAAAAAAAATATATTTTTCGATATTTACATTTTATTAAAAAAAAAAAAAAAAAAGACAAAAAAAAAACAAAAAAAGAAAATTTTTTTTTGTTTTTTTTTTTTTTGGCGTTAATTACGAAAGAGTTCGTTGTTTTTTTTTCGGAAAAATAAATTGTTCATTGTCTAAACATCGTTATTAATTGATTCTTTTTTTTTGACGTATTTTTTTCATCATATTATTACGAAATGAACGCGTGCGATACGATTTCGTTGTTTAATAAGCGATTGTATTAATAGTAGAATTATTGTCAGTGTCCAAATCAAAGTCACTACTATTTTCGTCATAAACTTCTCTTTCAGGATGCGTCATCCAATCCGATATAGGTCGATTGCCATGTTTGAGTGATGTAATTGGCGAGGAAGGTGCCGAGCTAGCATTTTCGTATCGATGACCAATTAACGAATTATCAACATCCTGATGATTATTAATATGCACAGCGGTATTATCTATAGATGAACTCGAAGGAGAACTAGAGCAGTTAACAGCATTCACTCCTTCTACAGCATTACTGTGAACGGGAAGCCGGTAGGAAGAACCGGGTGGAGTGGTCTGGTTCACGTGATGTTGACGTGGGCTCAGAACATTTGAGGAAGGAATTGATTTGGAATTAGGTCTTCCGCACGAAGAAGAAGAAATCTTTTGCTCAAAGGCCAAAGCTTGGGCGAACTTCTTTCTAATGGCCAATCTTTCGTAATGCTTCTTAACATTTTCAGGTTCATTTTTCCACATTTCACCAATCTTAATAGAAGGAGATATGTAATCGCAATCGGAAGAGATGTTACTTTTTAAACTGGAACTTGAAGATATCGTTACAGCCGCATTTCGAATCGCTGAAATTCTTTCTTTTATCTTTTGTCTATGAATGGCCGTGTTGATGTTCACGGTTGGTGAGGAATGACCCAAAATCGTCCGACGATTAAGGTTTAGAGCGTTGACGTTCATGTTGGGATTGCGTCGCTTTTTCTTCATGATCCCCCCGTTATTAGCACAAGATGAGGGATTGTTAAAATTGGGATTCCTTCTTCTTCTTAATTCAATGTCGTTAATATCATTAATGGAATGTAATTGATGTCCATTACCAGAAAAGAGGTTACCCCTTTCTGTATTCATCAATTGTCTTGAAAAGTTGGAAGTAGCAACAAGACTATTAGCGGTAAGGTAAGTGCGGGGGACGAGAATAGGGTGAAAACCTTCAGGTATCCAATATTGTTGCATGTTCTCTCTATCGCACGGGAACCTTTGCACTCTAGTCTCAAATAATGCCGTAGCGGCTGAATTTGTTGAGGAAGAATCATCATCAGCCATAAGGGTAGAGGTCGTTTGTTGATGTTGTTGCTCATTATCGGGGGAAGATTTTGTTTTTGAATACACGAGAACTTCATATCTAAGAGACTTATTTGTCAAACCCATTATTAAAATTGTATTTTTTAGAGGAAGGAAGAAAAAGAGAAAAGGAGAAACGAAAAAAATGAATTTAATAATGAGGAAGTCGTGAAGAGGAAAGAGAAGAGGAGAGTGTTTGATATGAAATTCTCGTGCACTAAACAAAGATGAGATTTTTTTTTTTTTTCTTATTTGAAGAACTTTTATTAAATAACCTTTATTGTATTGATGAGGAATAAAAAATTTTTTAATCGGTCTAAAAATTGGTCATTTTATCTCTTTTTTTTCTGAAATGAGAAAAAAAAAAATTTAGAATTAGTTAATGTAAAAAAAAGTCTAGAATAAAAAAAAAATTTTTTCCCATTTTTTTTTTTTATTTTAGAATAACGGGAATCAACGGTAAATCATGGAAAAATACACATCAAACAAAAGAAAGGATTAAATTGTGATTAGAGAGAGGGAAAAAGTGAGAGAATATGGTAAAAAAAAAAAAAAAAAAAAAAAAGAGAGAGAACAAGAAAAAAAAAATGCATGTAAGTACGCATATTCGAATGCTAAATCATACATTATGATGCTGTGTAATGTTAAAAATCGTTAAGAAACAAAAGAAAAGTTTGAAAAGAAGAAATAGAAAAAAGGAGTAGTATGTAAGTATATGTAATGCATACGCGGTATGTAAAATATATTAACATAATCATTGTTATATTAAAGAAAAAAAATTTATTATCCTAAATTTGTAAAACAATTGTTACACCATTGTTAATATTATACAATAGAGGTTGTATTTTCAAAATTTCAGAGAGATAATCATATAAATAAAATAAATAATCATTTTTTTTTTTTTTGACGAGGTAGACAATCATTCCTAATTCAGAAAACAATACGGAATATGGTGGCCTATTGTTAATTTTTTCGAACGAAGTGAGGTAAAACCACCACAAGACGTTTTTTTTTTTTTTCTTTTTTGACGAGAACAATGGAACCAGGATTGATGCAAAGTCGGTAAATTCCGAGAAATTTTAACATTCCGGGAATTTTTTAAACGTTTTTTTTATACATTGAAACTTATTTTACAATGGAGAGACTTCGGGAAAATTTTTGGTCAACAAAAAAATTTCCGGAACTTTTGAAACCTATTTTCAGCCCTGAATGGATCCCAAAACGTTGGAATTCAAAGGTATTAATTGGTTGGTAAGCCACAAAAAAAAAACATTATGCTACAACTATAATCCAGAAACACTACTCATTATTCTTTCGACATAAAATATTTTCTTTTCTTTTTCTCCTTAAAAGAGGAAAAAAAAAAAAAATCTCCATTTCTTCAATACAAGATTTCCACGATTCCCTATCTCCCCACACCAGAAGATTTACTTCATCCAAACAGACCAACAGAAAAATAATTTTCGATACCTTTTCATTATGTTGATCCCTCACACTTTACCTAAAATGGACTCATCAAGCATCATTGCATCATTTATCATCCCTCATGTGTAAATTTCGATTTCTACATAATGGTGCATCTTGTATTGTATAACTGTAGATTACAAAAAAAGTTTGACAATAATCCGTAAAGTAATTGATTATTTTTCGAAGTTAATGTCTGTCACCAAATAAATATTTAAACAACTAGAATGAATTTAAATTTAAGCTTAATTTATCTTAATATAGCCTAATAGTTCGACTTAAAAAATGTAACACTGTATTAGATAATACAGATAACAATGGAAATGATTCAAAAAAAAAAAAAAAATAAATAAAAAAATAATTTGACACATGCATTAAGAATTTTCGAATCAATATTACACAGTCCGAGTAGTCCCATGGGGTATTCAAACAGGTTATCAAACTGGTCAATTAAATGATCATTTTATTTTATTTATTTCATTTACAACACAAACAACACGACGAAAATCGAAACAAAGATTCCATTGTAAAAATTGTTCAAAGTGAAAGAAAACGTGTAAAAAAAAAGGAAAAAAGAATATATTAATAACGAATAAATAATAAAGAATTCTTAATTTTCCGGTTAATTAATTATTTTTTTTTTTTTCATTCAATAATTATATTTGTATCACT